ATGGGACAAGAGAAGCACCAGCTTGTAAGCTATCCCCATAATAAAACTTTGACTTTGACTGCTTATTTGTTGCGGTATGCCACAACTTATTCACAGCTAAGCTTCTTCGGTGGAGGTATCCCCCTATCCACAACTCGGCACCTCCCCTGGTAAGCATTCAGCTCTGCTTAGCCTGAGGGTATCCACCTTCTTCACTGGCAACCGTTTTCTACCTCATATAGGCGCTAGGAAATTCCGCCAAACATTGCGCTGTCTAAACGCAAGCAAACCACTTGGTCCGGACTGTATTCCACTCATCATCCTCAAAATGTGTACTCCCGAAGTGGCTCCTATTTTACGTCATCTTTTCAATCTTTCCCTCCAACTTTCCTCTTATTCAACCCTTTGGAAACACGCCGTGATTTTTCCCATTCCCAAACGCGGCGACATTTATGATCCCAGCAATTACCAACCCATTTCCTTCACAGCTGTTCTTTCGAACTTGGAGAACTACTGAGCGATCACCAGTATGGCTTCCTAGAGAGTCGCTCTACCGTAGACCTGCCGGCTGTTTTCTCAATTGTGGTTAGCTTCAATCGATAACCACGGAGAAATACAATTGATCTCCCTTGACATCTCACAGGCCTTCGACGGAGTTTAGCGTGAAGATCTACTGGTGAAACTACCCATGCTCGGGTTCCCTCTGGCGATGGTAGCGTGGATATCCAGTTTCCTCAGTAAGCGAACCATCTCCGTCCGAGTTGATAGGGTTCTGTCTCAACCGTTCCCAGTGAATGTTGGTGTTCCCCAAGGTTTAGTACTTGCGCCCAAACTTTTTTTATATTTATCAATGATCTCCTTTCCAAAACTGTCACTCCAATTCATTCTTTTACGGGTAACACCACGCTCTACTGCTCCCTCTCCTACCACACTACTCGCTATGCCCAAACCAACATCAGTCTTGACCTTAGTGCAGTTAATGTTTCACTGGACTCCAATCTTTAACACATCTCCTCCTGGGGCGATGTAAATCACGTTTGATTCCATAGTTCTAAAATCTTCTTTCAATTTGTTTAAAACACCATTCATTCTTCCCTCTCCATTTATCTTTTGATTTCACTCAATTGCGTTCCACACACTGTTTCCCTTCTTGAACTTCCCATAGCTTCTACTTTATACAAGCATCTAGGTCACCCCTATCAGAGTTCAGCTCCCAAATGTCGTACTTCTCTGTGTCAATCTTCTTCCCTCCCTCTAACTGCCAAGTTGTGGAACACCACTTTCTCTTTCAAACGCAGAATCAGCAAACTGGATCTTACGTGAATGTTCTACTCTCCATTTTACAGTATGCTATTTGTTTATAAGAATTTCCCCTTTTACTGTAACTCACATTATGTGTAATAAAAAAAATACTGAAGCCGCTTATAGTGGCATTCTTCAATGCATCATGGGGCCTATCGGTTGGGGGGGGGGGTACAGACTAAGTCCCGTAACCCCGGTCTCATGAAGCGTGGGATGTCCCACGATTTGTGTGAACCTGGAAATATGTTTGGTCCCCATTGGCAAACCGAAAATGAGCTTAGACCGGAGCTAACTGAAACTTTGGGTCCTCGGGGATAAACTCAGTAATTCTAGTCTATAAACTAACCACGTGTGGGCTATCTTGGCAGTCAATACTGCTGTCTGACTTTTCCACTGGCGTGGTCGTTATCCCATAAGGCTTGCATTTTATATGAATATGACGAGTAAATATATAAAAAGCATATATATACGTTATGAATGAGCGACAGAAAAATCACTTGTTATGCCAATAATAAAATGATCAATCCTACTTAGCGAAAAGTTGCTAATAGTAATAAACGAAAGTAACCTGCAGGATAACTGATGAAAAGTTAAAATTCGTGTCGGGCTTATCGGTTTACTGTTTAGACCAAAAATGTCCACGGAATACGTATAAAGAGGAAAGGAAGAACCAAAGGAGAACGAATGATATCACGAAACCTCGACGGCGGTTGTATTGATATAAACTACCTGGCGAAAAGAGAGGCTGAAAAATGAGTTAGCGTGCAGAAAGTGAAAGTCAACGTACCTTGACAAAATAGGTGGTCGCTAAAACAGCATGGTCCGAATAAAGGAAAGGTATATTGCAGAGGGGATTAACGCTGTCACTGCACCGTTGTCCCGGGTTGAAAATTCCCTTCAGCTATCGGCCGTTCTTTTTCCAAACTATCATGCGGTGGGTTTAGGATGCTGTACACCTCGTGTCCGACCTCACTTGGAGTTTGCAACTTACGCTGTCTATCCATGCGCAGTGATAGAATTCTAAATTTGCTTTATTGTCGGCTTACGTGTGTACTGCCACGTTGAGCGCTTGGAGATAACACGACTGTTTCCGGGAGTATATCGTCGTATTCGCGATGACATCATATGTAGGCGGCGTGTTCTTCGTGGTGTTACTGTCTCAAAGCTGCATGGGTGCTTCCGTCTGCCCGGGCAGAACCGGACGTCCCATAAGCTCATGTTGCTGAGGCTTCCGCCAGTCGGTTTACTTCCGACGTACCGATTGTCGCGCAGGGCAACCACTTGATGGAATGCTTTTCCGGTCGATGTGATGTACGAGGTTAAAGACAACTCGCCCTAGTGGAAGCTCAACTGTTTTCTTAAAGAAACGTGGCATGCACCTCCGACATTAACGCGTACTCCAAGTCAGTGGCTACGATGTTTATACAAGAGGTTTCCCCCTATTATCCAAGGAATCATATTGGTCATGCAAGAAACTGCAAAATACCAGGGTCTCTTTATTGCCAGGGACTTGAATTTTCCGGTGTCGGGATCAGCGGGGTGCTGTATTCTTGCAGTTTCTACAGAAAATAGCTCTGACAAAGCATCTGACAATTGCACAGGTACAGAAAGTGAAAAAAGATCCTCTATTTTAGACCTAGTGGTCATATGATACTCTCCAGATATAAGTAACCTCGAGGTGGAAAAGCTGTTAGGCAAAAGTGACCAAATAGTTGTTCTCTTTGGGCCAATGGTTAGAGATCATAGGCATGTGCCTACTCTTATGTGCTTTCACGGCTGCATAAATGAGACTAACCGAGCGCGAGATGCAAATGACATCAATTAGTGTCCGATGTTTTCAAATGGTAACGTAAAACATGGGTAAATATAGTTAAATTAGGGGTTACCAGGGCTCACTGATAGGTTTGCTCCACTTGGGGAAAGACACAGAGACCGAAAAGGAAACCCGGGATAGAGAAAGCACGGAAAAATCACCCGAGACCCTGGAATCGTTTCAAGCTCTATGACACACAGCAAACGTGGAGCAACTACAAACGGACTCACCACACTGCACAAAAACTTAAAAGGTCCGCTAATTATAGTCTTATGTTGATCCTAAAAAAAAAAAAAATTCTACGCGTAAGTACAAATGAATGTACACTAGAAAGTGTGGGGGCGTTTAATTTTCGTGACGAAAGTATAGCTACGTGTAATCGCGATAAGGTCGAAACACTACTTGCTTTCTTATACAGCGTGTATATGACAACAGTCAATGTAAAACACCACAGCATTCTGAGCCAAGTCAAGTTACGTGCAAGCCTTAGAAGACGGAATCAACAAGGCTGAGGTATCTACTTAAAGCGGTGAAATGTTAAACAAACGTGTCAGCAGACTAAAATATAAACACCTCAATTTGTGGTGTTCCCAAAGGGGATTCACCGAATGTACAAATGTCCAACGCGATTGAAGTTCGCAAGTAAGAGCCGAAAAGCCAACAAGTCCACAACTCCTTAGCGAGAAACAAAGAACAATTAAGGGTCAAAGGCACACGCGGTCTAGTTATTGATTCGATGGGAAACTCTCAGTAGACCAAGTAGCAATCAATCAGAGTTCGATACGACAAGTCCCAGTTCGGTGTGTGTGTGTGGGGGGGGGGGGGTTAGGACGTGCGTACATGAAGGAAGACAATAAAAAGCGTCACATGTTCAAACTTGAACGAGCAGTGGATGCCCAGAGGGGAAGTAGGATCCAGGTACACAAAGAATCGAACAATGTGGTCAATATGTGGGTATACAAAACATGCTCAAGTAAAGAAAACTACCGTGGATCAAAGTCTTGCCGATATATACTTTGAATAAGCGAACGATAACAGCAGAAACTGGGAATATAGGGGGAACAGGTAAAAATAGATTTCACAGTTCATCCAAATAATTCGGGTGTAGAGAAATTAGCTGATACGCCTGAGTTCGCCGAAATCACTATATGTGAAACAGATGTGTATCTGGAGCTCAGGACACTAACCAAGTAATCAGGTCCGAATGAAGTTCATGCGGTCCTAAAGCAACCGCTTGCAGGGGCTTTAGCTGGCTTACTGACTTTAGTATTCAATAAATCATTACAGAATGCCACGTTACCCAAAGACTGGTGTACAGCTGTAGTAATGCACAAGTCTAAACAAGCAGAGAACAGAGACCCATCAACCTAACGTCAGCGCTGTGTAAGTGCCTGGAGCGATCGATCAGGAGTCGCATGCACCCATTTTGAAAACTCTGTTCTTCTGTTTAACGAATTAGTTAATTTTTATGGTTGTCTTCAGTTTTTTTTTTCAGATTGGAATATTTAAACCTCAATTTCTTTATGCTCAGAAAAATTAAAACTGTCGCATGTGCAGTGTCGGGTGGAGTTGACAGTTCAGTCTCTGCCTATTTGCTCAAGAAAAAAGGTAACTAGCATCTTTCGTTCTTTTTATCGTCACCCATAATCATTAGGCTTTGAAGTAAAAGGGGTGTTCATGACCAATTGGGATCCCCTGGATGAAGGTTTACAATGCTCAGTGAACGAAGACCGTGAAGATGCGAAACAAGTCTGCGAACGGTTGAAAATACCGTTTTATGAGTTGAATTTTGTTCGCGAATATTGGCAATTTGTGTTTGAGTAACTCACACTTAATTCGTCCTCATGTTACTTACCTGTGCATTATAGACCATTGATACAATCTTACAAATACGGGGCCACTCCGAATCCGGATGTTCTGTGCAATCGGTTCGTGAAGTTCAATCTCTTGCTCAAGGCATGTCTACGACAATCATCAAATAACGCCACAGGGAAAATTGAAGCCGATGCGATTGCCACGGGACACTATTGTCAAAATTCTTACGGGAATTTCCTCGAGAATATTCCGGAAAATGAAGCGCGTCTGTTACGTAGTGCAGATCCCGTGAAAGATCAAACCTTTTGGTTGTCCACGGTAATAGTCAATTTTGTTTTACCAGGTTGCGCCTCCGTGTCATACTACATAAGATTTGAGTCCAGGAATGCTCCACTGTGTACCAAAGTTGAATTTATAGTTTTACGTTGAAAGTGCCTATTCCGAGAATAGTAGCAGACTGTAGTGCTTGGATTGTTTTTGTGTGCGTGTGTCTCGAATTTGCGTCGAATAACCGAGTAAACGATTTGCCATGAGAAAATGAACGTAAACACCAATGATCACCTTTAAGCAAATCGCTGTTTACGTTTTAGATCATTCAGAGTTGTTCAATTTAGTAATCTAACGCACCAAGTTGTACGTCGATAGTACGGAGGAGTTCAATATTGTCTGCCTTCCGCCCTTCGGGTGTAGTTTGACAAAGAAGGAGCAGCTTTTGATAGTGGGTCACACCCGAATTCGGGAATATCTATAATCTTTGTACTGTCCCTTCCGCTTCTATATCTGTCTATGAAAGCGGTTTCTGTGACTTCAATATCTATCCTCGTGTTCAGGTGAGCGATTAGCCTTGTCTGTTGTGTTTTTTGGTTTTATCTCTCCTTCCGAAGAGAGATATAACCGAGGCTTGTGCAATTTTTCCACCACCGTCAGGTTTCTTAACTTTGACATTCATGCATCAAACTACTCACTCATTTTAAACAACTCACGCCAAGAGACTGCCGAAAAACTAAACGGTTCCACAGTGTAATTAACCTAATGCTAGCGACTATAAAGCGCCTGCACTTTTGCATATCTTTATCATAATTTGAGAAACCAGTAACATAAAATTAATTCCGACAGATATTTCAAAAGGTAATTTCAGTCCGTTACAATATTATTGTTAAATTATACACGTGTCTGGGTTCAAACTGGGTGCCTAGCAAATTACCTTACAATAATTTTCATAATTAAATGTGTCATGATTTTTTGTGGCCACGACACTGATAGGCTACCCGTGTTTTGAGGTACTACTCGTATTTGTGAGTTGTATGCAAAATAATGCGGTCGGCGATTTTCTTCAATGAGAAAAAATTAACAAGACCACTGAGGGCGGATTGCTGTGCCCCAAAGAATAACTATGGATTGCTCCATTCAGTACCCAGTGTGCTGCCCGGAATTGTGATGTCGTGTTTCAAATGAGGCATCTGTTATTTGTATGCCAAATGCGTGAAATCCCAACTGTAACCTGCAATAAACAACTATCCTCGACTTGGCACCGCCTTGTGGAATTATTACACCAGGACCAAATAAGATTAATTTTATAATAAAATACTCGAACTGGGCATTTGACTAGCCAAAACCTGTCGTCATAAGGTAGCGGTACGGTGTGTGAAAACCGTAATCCATTGGGGGCCGGCATCCAGTTCATAGGATCATGCATCCTTTTAACGGGGGCCTCCGAAGGCCTCAGTATAGTCGAGGGTGGGTGACCAGGGTTACGGCTGGTCACCCTTCCCTTGTACCTCGCGAAATGCTCCCATACGACCAAGCGTCTCAAATAGCCTCTGCTGAGGAAGCCCTACCCACTTTCTTCTCGTGGCGGAGGTGTTTTCCCACCAAAGTGAGAGGACGAATATCTGATATCTGGGGCCCTAACCGGGTTGGTTGACCACTGATAGTTCACTCAAGGGAGTTGGCCAAAGACCCTGACTCCAAACCAACCAAGAAGAGGCTTACGAACCACACCCA